CACACCCTCAAGATGACATACTCTGTAACAAAATATAATCTTCAATTTGTTTTTAATCTAGGTTTTCATTCTGCTAAAACACGGTTAGATAATATTCGATTACAATTTCCTGAATTATCTAACTTAAATGAACGAATAATGAATGAAGTATGTGAAGAAGTAAAAATGTATCAATTAAATGCAATGCATATACTTCTTGATTTACAACAATCTTATCGATCTTGTTGGATTATTCAAATGACAAGACGATGTGCAAAAATGTTATTAAAATATGAATCTGTAGCAATTATTCAATTATATGAAACAGGAATGCTTGCAGAAAATGAATATTCACATATATTAGAATTAATTGAAAATAAATTATTTTCTCTTGAATATGGAAATATTAAAATGTTAAAAAATCAAAAGAAACTATTTGAAGATTCATTTGATTTATTATCTTTTTTTCGAAATCTTCCTTTGAGACAGAAAGATAAATGGAACAATCTTTTAAAAATGAAACATAAATGGTTTCAACCTGGCGATAATTTATTAGAAAAAAATCAACGAGTAACAAATGCTTATTTAATTATTCGTGGTATTGTTCAATGTAAAGATGAAACATTAGTTACCTTTTATAAATGTGGTAATATAATTGGAATTGATGCATTATTCAATGGAAAATCTTCATCCTTTAGTACATATAATGCTAGTGGAGGTGTTGTTGAAACATATTTAATTGATTCAGTTCTATTACATGCTCTATTATCTGATGAAAAACTGTCTCGTTCAATTTATGATGAATTAGCTCTTCATATGATTATGAATAATTTTCAAAAATTTTTAAATTTAAATCATTCACAATTAAAAATGCTTTTAAATGAAAAATCAATATTTTATAAAAATGAATCTCAATTATCAATTGAACTTCAATTAAATCAACGATTATTTCTTTTATCAGGAACAATTGATTGTTATTTAAATAATGAAAAAATTATTTATGATTCAACAGATTTATTTTTAATTAATTCGCCAACAACATATAAATTAAATTCCTCAACAATTATGTATACATGGACATATGAAGATGAAATTTATTATTTAAATTTAAAAAAATTTAAAATTAATTCTTTTATTAATAATGATGAAAGGAATTCTGTTGAACCATTCTATCCATTGTATTTAGGTGATACAATTGAATTTACTCCACGACGTCATTCATTATCAATAACACGTCCAATAGAAAATTCAAGTAATTTTCAATTTATTCCATCAGAAATTGAAGTTAATAATCACAACAATATACCATTGGAATATTTTTAATTTCTATTCTTATATTATCTTGTAACTAAAATAAATAAAAATTTCGTATTTATTGAAGTATATGTGTTGTGATGTATGACCTGGTTATTATCGTTCGTTTTATTTTAGTCTTTCTTTCTTTTTCTAAGATTATTCTCTATTAGAAGAATCTTTGTTATTGTCGAGGGATATTCTATTCTAGAATATTCCTTAATATAAGTGTATTGCATCATATATATATAGACGTGTATGAAGTAGTTTATTATCTAATAAAATACCATTTAACACTCGACTTCAGGATGTAACATGTGTATTCAAAGTGAGCGTATAGATGGAAAGAAGAATATTAGATGCCTACATCCGCATCTTGAAGAGACTTACAAGCATATTCCATCGACTGCAAAAACCTGATATGAATCTATTAATATCTAGACCGATGATTCCATATAAAGGAATATATGCTATAGATACTTGAGTTCTATACAACTTCTTATCAAACTCTAACTCATTGAATAGCTCTAGTTCTGAATAAAATGTGAACGATCTTTCTCATCATAGAACAACGATCATCTGTTGTATAGACTCTATATGACCACATATTCAGAATATTCGAAATTTTTCTTGTCAGTCATGGGTTTTTACTGGAAGATATTTATATGATTTTTTTCAGAATTTTCTATAGAGAGTCTAACAAGACCTATATGACTGAGCACCTAAGTACGGCAAAAGTTCGATCGGTCAAGGGGAAACTAAGAGAAATAACTACTATCGATGAATCTTGCAATTACTGAAAATTTCATGTGAAACTGCCCTTGATTATTTAATTGGGTTGCAATAACGTAGGAAAAACGGATACTCACATTGCTTCTTACAAGTGGTATATTAATTTAATTTAGTACGAATATTTGTACTCAAATCTCATCTATTTCAGCAAACTATATGTTACATCAAATTCAATAAAAATAATACATTTGTTGAAAACCTATACAACACAATACACTATGCTTTCAAAAGTAGATTAAATTAAAATAATGATTTAGAATTAATAACAATCTGAAATGTGAATAAGAATATTTAAAACGAATTTATTATATATGTGTATAATTAGTTATACTTATATGCTGGTAATAAGAAAAAGCTATTGAAAGATTTTTATTTCATTTATGATTAAAAATCGATTGATAAGTTATGAAAAGAGAATCATTTTGTTGAGCTACGACATGCTCCGCGTCCTGCCCATTGAACCTCACAATAACATCCATCACCACAATGTGTAGCTGGTGGAGTGATTTTGCAACTACCAGTACAATTGCCTTGTGACGAATTAAATTCAAAGCTTAAATAATAAAACATAAAAATGCTGACTTACAAGTTATATTATGTTAACTTACGTTGGTCCACTCATAACTCTACCAGTAAAAGTTATAAATATGGAAAAAATAATGAAACATAAGAATGTTTTGATGGACATATTTTTCTCTTGACTTGATTGTACTAAAGAATATGTTTATCTGATTTAATCTATGAATACATAAACATTTCTTATTGCGTCTTAAAAAAGTAGCATAAAAATTTCGTTTAACTAAATATATCTGACTATTCATTTAAGTGTCTCATCGTCAATCTGACAAAAAAATAATAAATTGCGAAGAAAAAATTACAGAGATAAAATAATGACATAGTTAAATCGATTGAAACTGATAAAAAATATTGTGAGAAAAAGTGCAGTATTAAAAATAAACCGTTTAAATCATAAAATCAATAATAGTTTATAAAAAAAGAATGTAGAATTCGAAAACAACAATATTCAAGAAATCATTTTAAATAGTAAATGTGAATATTAAGATTATTTTTAATCTATACATATTCACTTTTTAAGGATAGAATTATACAACTAAAAGTTTTAATTTATTCGAAGATTAACGAATTTTCAATATACTAATAAATAATTAATGAACATTGTATTTTTTTGCAGCATATATTTTATTTCAATTAAATATAAACATAGTTTTGAAATTTATAATTACAAAATAGGACACAATATTCTGATGGTGAGTATGGGCGGGGGTGCTAATGATGAATATTAAGGACATCTACACCCTCAGGATGTCCGGGAGTGTGATGCTCATTGCTACAAGAAAATCAACGAACAAACAATCAACAGAAACAAGGAATGTCACAGCAAAGAAAATAAAAGCCTTCTATTCTGATTGTGACAAATTTTATTATCTCAGTTGTTTTGATGAAAAATATCATTCTATGCAATAAATGATACAAGCGATATTTTGTGTTGAAAAATGTATGTTCATAATCATTGTTTGATGATTTAAATGATTATAATCATTTCTAGATTTTCACTAATCATTAAAGCTAATGTTGATTGCTGGTTGCAGCAAAAAAAAGAAATGAGAGACTCTTGTTTGTCATATAAATAGTTAATAAAATAAAATTCCATCTGTCAAATGAATTTGAATGAAACTGTTGTGTTTTCATAAAAAACAGTTATGTCCTTAAAAAATATTGTTTTAGATATATTTCAGGCGAATTGTTAAGAAAAAAATTTGAGCATTTAGCTAATTCAACTTATAATATAAATGACACGACAAAAAAATCATCGATTGCTTTATTTGTCGTTAAAATAAAGTTTTTTCTTGTATATTTATAATTTTTAACAGATCGAATAAATCTTCAAAAAATTTCTTGCAAAGTTAACTCTAGTCAACTCTTCCCTGACGAAACCCCAAGAGGGTCCTCGCAAAAAACTTAACGGGGAATCACGGCAGGGACTTGTGAGGGAGTCAAACAATGTGCCTAAGGATGTTTGTAGGTATAGAAGAAACCCACACTCGCACGTAGTTCAGACAAATTCTTAATCAGTTGATCTAAGGAATGTCTTAGAAGAGGCACATTTGTTCAAAGTACATTTCACAACACATGTTTTACAAACAATAAACAAACATAGATGTTTTCTGATGATTTAAGTGGTTCAATTCTAAGTTATTATAGATTAGAGAATAATAACTATTCGTCTCGTTTTTTTAATAATTTGAAGATTTTCCATTGGAAGATAGTTGCCGAAATGAAATGTTTTAATAAATACTAATCGTTTGTACGTCACAAGACAATCAGACGTTAATGAGTAATGTGTGCGAATGAGTATTGAATACAAAATGATCCTTTTTGAATAATTAAAAGTGAATTAGACAATATCTAGAGTTTATATGTGAATGTACATTGATTAAAAAAACGAGTAATACCCATGCAGATACAACAAAAATAATGAGGCATCTTGTTAATGTTATGTTTTTTTCTAACGCTAAAATGTGATTTTCATGAATGAATAAATAGTTGTTATCAAATAACAAAGGAAAAACGTTGCAACATACGATAGTTGCAAAACAGACGTCATGCTTAATATTTTATTTTTCCAAAAAACTGTTTTTCTTCCGTTTTATTCAGCGTAAATGAAAACATTGTTTGTTCCTTTCAACAAACTGTCGTTAGAAAAATAAAAAACAAAAAAAATGAAGAGGTGGATAAAAAGGGGTTTATTAGGAACTCCCGATAAGCAGCATATTTTTATTTTATGTTAGCTCGAGAAAACTGTAACACGTCATTTTATCCGAACTAAACTAATAAGTAAAATACACGTTTGAAGAAATTTAGTTGTTTAAAATATTTTATTCGATCAAAATCTTTTATTTATTAGTCATGGATATAAACGAAAATCAAACATCAAATTCTGGAACAATATCAAGGTATGTGCTTTTTTGTTTTTTTTTTCAAGAAGCGATACTAAAGTTGTATTGTTTTTACAAAACAGATTTCTTGGAAGAAAGAAACGGTTAATATGGATTATTGTTGGTATTGTAGCTTTTGTAGTAGTTGCAGTAATTGTTATTCCAACAAGTATTGTTTTGACAAAAAAGAAAACTACAACAGCAGAAGTAATATCAACAACAACATTGACATCAACAACAATATCGACAGAAGACTCGACTACAATATCAGCAGAAGTATCAACAGTGGATGTTTCTTTCAAAAGTGAGTAACAACTATCTATAACGCATTGAACTATTTCTCAGTTACATATACAACATGGTTTGTTTTATGTCGAATTTCTATATTTTATATAGCAATCTTCATTTCTATTGATACTAAAGAAAAGTGCAATCTACAAGAAATCACTCTTATCCTCTGTTACTTTCGTACATAAGCTAGTCGATCTTTAGCCGTCTTAGTCCCTTTATACCCACATCCACACCCTATTCAGACTGGGTAGAATCGCGTTTAACTATGGTTAAATTAGGCCGACTGTGCCTTCTAAGTCCTCCGGATCAGATCGAACTATACTAAGCTAAAGCTGAATCAAGATGGGCGAGCTAAGTTAATATTCTGAATCTAATAGGGCCGAACTGAATATAACTCAAATTAGATCTGAAGAAAATTTAAGTGGTGCCATAAAAATATGGTCCATTATGTGTTCTGGTATATTACAGCAAAGTATGAATGAATATGCAATTAAGGAATGACGAGATAGTGTAATTTAACAATGTAACTAGACATGCACCGAACTCAAACTTTTGGATTTGATGAGTTCGAATTCGCGTTTGAGTATTAAGTTTGAGTTTACATTTCTATGTGGTTTAGACGTCGAAGCTTGCGATATCTAAGTCAAATTCAATACTCACAACCATATTCAATGCTCCTTACTCAAAAACACCAAAGTGATTTAGATTGGACGCATGTATAATTGCAACGTCTGACCCAAACTCATATCCAAATCCAAACTCAAATCGATATATATTCAAACCTAAACTCATATACCCACATCCTCACAGACGATTAAAATTCGAGATTATTTTATCCAACTCAATAACTCTGAACCTTTTTTGTCAGTTATCAAAGAGCATTTTAATCTAAATAAAATGGTTACATTCGCTAATCTATATCTGTTAATACTCAGAGGCGTACAGTGACTAATAATCACTGATTATTCAAATATATTATTGTTTTTTTTAGATTGGTCTCAAACAAATAATATGAACTATCCACGAACCGCTCATGTAGCATCTGTATTAAAAGACGGAAAAGTATTAATTACTGGTGGATTGTTTGGATCTACTGTTTTAGACAGTGCAGAATTATACGATCCATCAACAGCAACTTGGGCGTCTACTAATCCTATGAATAACAAACGATATCGTCACTCAGTATCTAAATTACTTAATGGAAAAGTCTTAGTTGCTGGTGGAGAGGATAATAATGGATGTCTGAGCAGTTCAGAATTTTATTATCCAGAAGAAAATATATGGACAAAAACTGGTAATATGAATAGTCAAAGATGTCAGCATACTGCATCCGTATTATCAAATGGAATGGTATTAGTTACTGGTGGACCAGATGAAAGGTAATTTAATTGAAATTCCATCACAATTTGGAAAACGTTTCTCTTTTCGATTTTGACGTTTCAGGTAAACGTATCACTGTAAAATATGTTCATTACTAGATAAACCTAGAAAATTTAGATTGTATTTTAGGAATATCTCTTTGAACGTTTAACTATGTGTAGATATTCTCACATGTTTCCTATATAAGTTAGAAACATAATCGCTTTCAATCGTTAATTCAAGCTATTTATAGAACAAATTTATTTCTCAGGATTTCTTTTTTTATATATTTCAAAGGTTACATAAGTGTTGTTTCAAAATATAATCTGAATTGCAATCATATTCAGCTAGCTGATAAAAGTTAGTAACAGTAAGAGACAAAATGAATCTATAAAACACTGTTATCGTTCTATACTAAATCAAATAAGAAATTCATATTTGACGGAATATTAGCATTTAGAAAGAGGAATCATCGATGCTTCAAAAAATCTCGAAACTATTCATATCAAAATCCGAGCTATTATTCGGATTCATTTCATGCCTGTTCTTGATTAGTTATTCCTATTCAATTATACTGCTTGAGGTTCAATATTCTTGATAAGGATTCTTTGCTATCTAATTTATTATCTTTAATTACACTTAGTAACATCAAATGTTGGTGAGATAGCCATTTAAAAATACTAGTTTATGAGTTAAATAATGCTATAAAGTTCATCTTAATATTTTGATAATTATTTTTTTTTTCCAAATTATAGACAATAATCAAATTCTCTTGAGTTAATTAATTTGTTTTCAGTTTCTTTGCCATTTTTTTAATACTTATTTGTCTAGTGAAGAGTTCTTCAACAATGAGAAACGATCAAGAGATCAACAATAAATGTGTTCATGCCTAGCTGACTGTAGGTTTTTCCTTTTTGTCTAGTCTTTTCTTTGATAATGTTTCTAATCTCAAAATACATCATCGAGTTTTAATAGATCGAATTATCTGATCTCAGTTGATTAATTTTATCTTTAGAAAATTCTTTGGTACACACCTAATTTAAGCATGAATGTATCGAATCGATAGGAGAGTACATTTCTGATCTTTATGAACTACATATATATGAATACTTCCATATAACTAAACGTACATTGAGTTGTCTTTAAAATCGAACTATATCATCAGACTAATTATATCAGAGTAGATTTTTCTTATTGCTATCAATTATTTTTGAAGACATTATGTTGAAGTAAAAAAATTAAAATCGAAAAGAAACATTCGAAACTGATTAGATACTTTTTTCTACTATTGATCTTAATAGTGCTGAGTTATATAATTCATCGACTGAAACATGGACACTAACTAGTAACATGAAATATGCACGAAAAAGTCACCAGGCATCTAAATTAAAAAATGAAAATATATTAGTAACTGGTGGGTTCGATTATGATGACGAATTAAACGTTGTTGAATTATACGACCCATCGACAAAATCATGGACAACTACTGGCACTATGCATTATGCACGATCCTGGCACACAGCATCAGTCTTAAAAAATGGAAACGTATTAGTTGCTGGTGGAGCCACACATAATCTTCGTAGTGCGGAGTTGTATGATTCAGAAACAGGAAATTGGACAATTACTGGATCTTTAAATTTTGGAAGAAAGATTCATGCAGCATCTGTTTTAATCAATGGAAACGTATTAGTGTGTGGTGGAACCAATCTATACACCAATCTCTATTTTACTAGTTCAGAGATCTATGATCCATCAACAGAAATATGGTCTACGAGCAGTGATATGAGCTGTAAGAGATATCGACATCAGTCATCTGTTTTATCAAATGGAACAGTATTAGTTACTGGCAATGGAGAGCAAACATCATTTAGATGTACTGCAGATTTATATTAAACCAATGGGAATGGGCGACGTATACATACGTTCAACTTCGAATTAACTCATAATTAATTTTTGTACTTCTCTTATGATGCTGCTTTGATCTACGCTAGCACATAAACTGCTAATCTATTACACTGCTATTGATATTGTGATCT